CAAAGGCACAATTCATTTAAAAAAATTTTTTTTAATTTTCTGTCAAAGATCTCGTAAAAAAAAAAAAAAAAAGAAAAATGAAAATATGCTACACACAGTGAAAAAAATATTTGCAAAACACAAAGATAACTAAAGACTTGTATCTAGCATATATACAGAACTCTCAAAACTCAAGAGTAGAAAACCAAACTTTCCAGGTGGAATATGGGCAAAATATAGGAAAAGTCATGGCAAATAAGCACATGAAAAGATGTTCAACAACTTTAGCTATTGGGAAAGTGAAAATTAAAACCAACAATCAGAGATGACCACACTAAAAAATTAGAATGGCTAATTTTTTTAGGTGTGAAATACCAAATGCTGAGAGGATGCAGAGAAACTGATTATCACATACATTGCTGGTGGGAATGTAAAGTAATATAGTCACTCTGGAAAAGTTTGGCAGTTTCTTGTAAAACTGAAATATACACTTTTACATTATGAACCAACAATCTCTCTTAAGCATTATGATTCCATTTATATAATAGTCTCAAAATGATGAAATTTTATAAATGAAGAACAGATTCATGGCTGCTGCAGGACAGAAACGAAGCGAGATGTGCTACTATGAAGGCATAGCCCAAGGATTTCCTTTGTGGTGATGGAACAGTTCTGTATTTTCATTGTGGTGGAGGTTACATGAATCTATTCACATGTTCTACAGAACTATACACATGTGCATATAATCCAGCTTAAGGAATAATACAAGTGCAAAACTCCTGTCATGTTCCCCTGTTGTTTTCTCTTAACTTGCATTCAAAACTAAACAGTATCCCTAATTTTATGTTGATCACTTCTACAAATTGCATTTTTTCTATGAATTTCATTCTTGGTAAATCTCATATGCATTTCACTCCTACTGATATGTGACAATTTCATTATTGTTTCATTGTAAATATTTTCCAAACTCCAATATGAGTTTTTGACTTCTGAGTTTAAGTGGTAAAAACACAAGTTTTCTTTATTATTGTGTCTTGGTTACTTTTTTGTAAATGTGTTGTAATCAGAGAACTAGTCCGTGTAGACCACATTTTAAACATTTGCTGAGATTTACTTTGAGGTTTAGTATTTGATTTGTTATTAAACTGTCACATGTAGATTTGAAAAGAATATGGTTCTCCAACTGGTGGGTTTCATATACAAATTCACCAGATCAAGGTTATTGTATTCTTATCTTCCATATTCTTATTAATTTTGTATAATAATAAACCATTAAGTTGTTACAATTAAAATTGTGAATTTATCAGTCTCCTTGTAATTCTACAAACTTTTGCCTTTTAAGCATTAAAAGTACATACAAATTTACAACTATAATACTTTCATGGTGATTTTACCTTATCATTAGGTATAGACTCACTTAATCCTTAAAAATACTTTTGCTTTAAAGTCTATTTTATCTGGTATTAGTACTACTTTATTAGCTTCCTTTTCATTAGTATCTGCCAGGTATATATTTTTTCATCCTTTAACTTTCAACCTTTATGTATCTTTATGTCTTAGCTTTTCTTGTATGAAAAAGAGAGGAAGAAAGAGAAGTTTTTTAACAACTCATTTTTACCTACTTGAATGTATTTTTAAAATCTAATTTGGAGATTTTTGTTATCTTTTTCTAGCTGAGTATCCTCTTCTTCCTCCCCCTTCCTATTCTTTTTTGGATGGCTTGGGTTTTCTTTATTCCTTTTATTTAAAAAAATGTGGTACATATATACAATAGAATATTATACAGTCATAAAGAAGGAAAAACATATGGACTTTACAGCAACTTGAATGAATTTAGAGTTGATCATACTCAGTGATCTATCACAGAAACAAAGTACCATATATTCTCACTCATAAGCGGTTCTTGAACAATTATAATACTATAAGAAAGGGACTGGCAATAGTGGGAAACCGTCAGGGGAGGGGAGTGAGATTAGCAGTTGAGGGAAACTGCTAGGGGAGGAAGGGGCATAACTCATCAACAAGGGTACCTGCATAATCAACATTTATATACCCAACCCTGAACTGTACCCCACATCTTTAATTTAAAAAAAATAAAAAACAAAACAATGTTTTAAAAAAGGGAAAAAAAACTGTTACGCAAACTGTATTTTATTTCTGCATCATAAGGTTACCATTACAAATGTAATAAATACATCAGGTGCATTAATGTCTAAAGTTAACTAATGGCTCTATCTTCCTTCTGAATACTTAGAATGTTTTCACTCTTGCTGCCCTGCTTTTTATTCTCCTGAAACTAGTCATCTTTTATTATTGTTGTTTTATACAATAAACATTTAGGACTTGCAAAGTGTCTGCAAATTTATTTCTTGTGTATCTCACGGCTCTCTTATAGGGTTCAATTTTCTCCCTCAAGTACACTCCAGTAGTCTTTTTCAGTAAGGGTTAAACTCTCAACTTCTGTCTAAAAATTTTATTTCAGCCTCACTTTTGAATTTTTTTAGATGGCTTCATTATGACTCAGTGCTTTGAAGTTATTCTCTTATCTTCCCAACAGCTAGAAATCTGCTGTTAGTCTAAGTCAACTTTTTGTTACTAATCTATTGTCCCTGATTGTTTTTACAAGTGAGTTACTTTGTTTTTTTGTTTTTGTTTTTGTTTCTTTTGCTATTTCACTATATGTAGATTTTGGCTTTTTTGTGTTTATCTTGTTTGAAACTTGTCCTTTTTCCTGAATCTGATGATCGTGGTTTCTCTCAATTCCGTAAAAATGCTCAGCTTTTATCTCTTTAAATATTGCCTTAATTCCCATTTTCTCAACTCTTTCCTTCTGGAATGCCTCTTAGAAACATTTTGAAATGTCTCATTCTACCACCCACATGTTAATGTCTATATTCTCAAAACCCAACAGTACCTGGCATATGGCCAGTGCTCAATATATATTTGTGGAAAGCATGAATGATTTATACCAGGGGTCCTCAGACTCCACACCAGGGACAAATACTGGTTCATGGTCTGTTAGGAATCGGATCACACAGCAGATGAGCAGGGGCCCAGTGAGCAAAGCTTCATCTGTATTTACAGTTGCTCCCTATCACTCACATTACTGCCTGAGCTCACCTACTGTCAAATCAGCAGTGGCATTAGATTCTCCTCGGGGCATGAACCCTGTTGTGAACTGTGCATGTGAGGGATTTAGGCTGCATGCTCCTTATGAGAATCTAATGCCTGATGATCTGAGGTGGAGCTGAGGCAGTAATGCTAGCGCTGGGGAGTGGCTGCAAATACAAACTAACATTAGCTGTGAGAGTTGGACTGCACAGCGACCATAAAATCAACTGCTTGCAGATTCATATCAAAACCCTATCAGGGAGTGGCAAGTGAGTTGATGTACTTCAATTGCACAGCAGCATCTAGTGGCAGGCTTTAAGTCAGAATCCGACACTTATTTTAGTCTGTGTGTAGACTGCCCGTTATTTTATTTACCAATTCTGTCCATAACTTTTTCTTTCTGATGAGTTGTAGAATTATTATATTATATACTACAATGTAATAATAATATAAATAAATGTACAATAAACGTTATGTGCTTGAATCATCCTGAAACCACTCCCCTAAGCCACTACCCCCAGTCCATGGAAAAATTGTCCTCCATGAAACCAGTCCCTGAGACAAAAAGGTTGGGGGCCACTGATTTATACTGAACCCATCACGGAAATCAAAATAAATGCACCGGCTCAAGGCAGAAATCAGATATCTCCTGAAGCCCAGCTTCTTAGCAGCTGAATCTTCAAACTAGTGCCCCAGCTCAGACATAAAAAGTTAAATCTAGGATCATTTAACAAAAAGAACCAATTATTGAGGTATACCACTTGGGAGTGTAGGGTAAGGGACTATGATTTGTCCCTTATTTTGAGGAAAATGGATCAACTGGTTCAGAAAATATGTAGAGCACCAACCTAGTGACACATCATCAGTGACATGAAATCAAGATTTAGTTCATATTTAAACACTTCTTTTGGGTACTTAATGTAGAACAGAGTTGAGTAACAGTTTGTATCAATTGTGCATCTACTAGGATATTGCTTCACAATTCTGCAAGATAGGCATTGGTATTGATAAATGTAATTAAATTAAGGTATAATTAAAATAACTTGTCCAAAGTTGTACAGCTAGTTAGTTAACTGGTTAAACCTAAATTTGATCCAATGTCTGCCCAGCCCTAGACCAGAAGCTGTTGCTTGGGTAACACTCAGAGAATTGAACCAACTCTCAGTCAGATGGGAAGTGGTCATTCAGTGCCTTATTAAATATGATCATAAAAATGGATTGGTCACTAATGAGCAAATTTGCAAACAGTGTTAAGGGTTGGGCTGAATAGTAGCATATTAGCATGAACCTCCTCAATGTCAATAACAGATTTTAAAATAAGAAATAATTCAAGTAACCCAAACACACATATATTTTTGTTTCTGTTATTAACTACATGGGAAGCTGTATTAGGATTGTTAAGATTCTAACAGTCTTGGGATTGTTAGAAGCAGCATGCGGAAAAATAAATAAGGCAAAAGACCCAAGAAAATGGCTCATAAGGGAAGAAACAAAGCTGAGACTGCTACTCAGAGAGTGGGCAGTACTGCCTCTTGCTGGGGGCAGGCCGAAAGAAAGACCACAGTGTTCCTGGATCACAATTACTCAAGTTCACACCTTATCCCATGGAGCCTAAGCTTGGGCCCCAGTTGGCAGAACAATATAAACAGATATTCTGCTGAATGACTCTATTAATTGTAATGTGACACCATTCTAGAGACTATCTAACTGATATTTTTAATTTACCAATTTTTTTCTCATATGCATACACACATACACCATCTTAGAGATAATTCTGAAAGGAAGGAAGAGACCGTCATAGTTCACAGTTTACTACAAACGCATATCATCTAACTTGATGGAATCCAGGTGCCTCAAAATGCAGAGAAGGTTCACAGGATGTTCCACAGAGTGTCATCGTCAGAGTTCTGGTTATCTGTTCTTTTGAATGGTGACTCTAACATGCTTTTCCAGTTCCAGCAAGTTTTGGTAAAATTTTTCAGCAGTGTCTTCATCTAGGTCCATCTGGAAAAAAAGCAAAAATAGGGATGGCTAGAAAGGAAAAATAAGATGAATCGTATTTGTATAAAAGAAAGGCATTCAACATATGTAAGCGAACTGAAAACAAACATAAAAAATAATAAGGAAGAAGCTGGCTGGCAGGAAAGGGCCATGGTGGCAGGCAAATGAGGCTGTCAGGAAACTGTGAGCCTGATGATGTGCTAACTCTCAGTCCCACCTCCAACTCTCACCAAACCTACCGATGCCTTCATTGAATAGCAAGACTGACAGATCTAAGTTTGGCTATCTCTCTTAGCTCCATGTACCCAGGAGCAGAAGATACGAATCAACTGCGATATAAAAGGACAAAACAGGAAAATCAAAAGTTTTGTGAATTTTCAATAGCTACTCACCTCCTACTATCCATCTTCTGTAGCCAAGAAACACGAGCAACCTCACTGCCCCCAGATAAAAGACTACATTTTCAGTCTCACTGAAGCAATGGCTATCATGTGACTAAGTTCTGGCCAAGGAGATGTAAATACTAGCCAGAGTCTCTTTACAAGAAACAGGGCATCCCTCTTTTCTCTTCTTTCTTCCACCCTGCTCTCTTGAGCCAGAAGGACGAGGTGACTGCAAGAACCTGGGTACCTGATGATTCATGGGGCTGCCATGCCAGCCTGAGCCCACATTTCTCCTCATTGCTTCTCCATGCAAGAAGTCTAAGATTCTATCTTGTTTAATCTGCTGTTATTTAACATTCTCGTACTTGATGCAGAAATTCTCATTTTAACTGATGAAGTGAATGTAAAAGTACAAGTCTCGGTCCCTATAAAATAGTGATATCCTTTTTTCAAATCAACACAGAGCCTAAACTTCAAAACCAGGCTCTTTCTTCACAAAACTGAAAGGCTGAAAATTAAAGAAACTTTTTTTTAACATTTTGGAAATCACACTGATATTCATTTAATCATGTTAGAGTGTGGTTTTTAATTTTTTTGAGTCAGGCTAGGCTGGAATGCAGTGGGATGATCACAGCTCCCCACAGCCTCACCCTCCTGGGCTCAGGTGATCTTTCTGCCTCAGTTCCCAGATAGGAACTACAGGAACGTCTCACCATGCCCAGCTATGATCTATTTCAACCCCAACTTTTAGAGGAGAAAACAGATTCTTTCAAATTAATAAAAGGTTAAAACACTTTCATCAATGCATTTCCATAAAATGCTAATGAATACTTTGGTCTGCAGAATTAAGCATTTTCTCCCCTTGATAAAACAAATCATTCCCTCTAAGTTAATAGACAGTAAGCTCAAATAAACTCTAAAGCCTCAAATAAGCTTATTAATATACAATACAATTCCCCAAAGTGATGTTAAGGATCATGTAAATCTGATTTTTAAAAATTCTCAGTCAAGGCCAGGTGTGGTGGCTCACGCCTGTAATTCTCAGCACTTTGGGAGGCAGAGGCGAGAGGATCACCAGAGCCCAAGAGTTCAAAACCAGCCTGAGCAACATGGTGAGACCTTGTCTCTACCGTAAATAAACATTAACTGGGTATGGTGGCGTACGCCTGTAGTTCCAGCTACTTGGAAGGCTGAGGCAGAAGGATAGCCATAGCCCAGCAGGTTGAGGCTGTGGTGGCTGTGAGTATGCCATTGCACTCCAGCAGCCTGGGCAACAGAGTGAGACTCTAACTAAAAAAAAAAAAAAAAAAAAAAAAATTCAGTCAAAAACAATTGGGAACACCAGGATTAAATATTTCGCACACTTCTTATCTGTTTCAACTTCTCAAAGCCTTACTGTGCTGATACACATTACACATATTTCTGAAAGAGGAGAACATAACACAAACCATTACTCAGTTTTACTTGACATAGGAACCGTTTCTTGCAAATCTTCTCAAAGAACAAGTATTCCACAGAATTTATTTTGAAAAACCTAGAAGGTTCATTTTTAGTGAACAGGAAGCCCAGGGAGCAGAACACTCACCTCCTCTTTCAGCTCACGCAACTGGCAGACAGACCAGAGCAATGCCCGTTACTTGACTTACTGGCGATAATTTCCTCACCCCAATCTAGTTTTATTTTATGCCAGCACCTCCTTACAACAGGCTGAGCAGTGAAATAAAACTCATGACAAAAGCACAACAAAATAGACTTTTTAGTTCAAGAGGAATTTTCTCATTCCCCAGTATGTATTTCTATGTTTATTTTTAGAAGATTATACAGAGTCAAGCCGGGCTCGGTGGCTCAGCCTGTAATTCCACGCCTTTGGGAGGCTGAGGCAAGTGGATTGCCTGAGCCCGCGGGTTTGAGACCTGCCTGGGCAGGCGAGACCTCATCTCTACAATAAAATCAAAAAATTAGCTGGGCGTGGTAGCGCACGCCTATAGTTCCAGCTACTTGGAAGGCTGAGGCGGAAAGATCGCTGGAGCTCAGCAGGTCAAGGCTGCGGTGGCCGGGAGCGGCCACTGCACTCCAGTCTGGGCGACAGAGTGAGACTCCAACTCAAAAAAAAAAAGATTATACAGAGTCTAAAAAAACAGTACTGATTTGATTTGTTTTGTACTCTGTCCCCTGCCTCTTCAAAACACCAATCTATTAAAGCTGGTAACTGTCACAAGCAGAACTGAATACTGAAAGGGAAGTTAACTTCACACGGAAAGAACCTTCTTGTTTCACCCAACTTGCAACCCGTTTACTGAGCGCCTACCATGTGTAAGATGACCCTCTAGAAGAGGGTGGTAAGATCTTCCTCCTCCTCACAGAGGTTCTGTTCTGACAGGGGAACTCGAAGGTGAACAAACATGAACCAGAACAGGTACAAGATACCAAGAAAGCCTAGTACACAGGCATCCAGCCTGGTCTAAGGGTCATCGAAGACTGGGGTATAAACTAAAGGATAAGCAGAAATCAATCCATTGAAAAAGAGGGTAAGAGCAGCTTGGGTCAAGAGAACAAGATGTGCAAAGCTTAAGAGGTAGGAGAGAGCAGGAGGAAATGAAACAGATCAGCGTGACGCCACTGAGCAGTGAAGACCCAGGGTAAGAAAGTGAGGGCCCTAGGGGCTGGTCAGGAACGTGGGGCCCAATTCATCAGCCTGGCAGCAAACATCAACACAGCAATGTAAACACATTTACCTTCTGGGCCACTACATAATTGCTTCCAAAGCCAGTGGTGGCACTTTGATACTTGGTCAGAGGATTGAGAGACTCGGGCTTTTGGTGGAAAAGCCATATCTGGAAAGGAAGAACGTGTCAGTGATTTGTTTCTTCTGTCCAAGGTGAGTTAGGCTGGTGGGATTTACAATCAGCACTTTACAGAGCTCCCCAAACTCTAAAAATCCTCTCGATTATCATCAGTTAATGCTTTAGCAAGTATATTAAGAACTAACAAGCCGGGCTCGGTGGCTCAGCCTGTAATCCCGCGCCTTTGGGAGGCTGAGGTGAGTGGATTACCTGGGCCCGCGGGTTCGAGACCCGCCTGGGCAGCGAGACCTCATCTCTACAATAAATCAAAAAATCAGCCGGGCGTGGTAGCACATGCCTGTAATTCCGGCTACTCGGAAGGCTGAGGTGGAAGGATCACCGGAGCCCAGCAGGTCGAGGCTGCAGTGGCCGGGAGCGGCCACTGCACTCCAGTCTGGGCGACAGAGTGAGACTCCAACTCAAAAAAAAAAAAGAACTAACTAAAATACAGGTTAAAAGCAATTTGTGTTCCTACAATAAATGAATTTATTTCTTTAATGCTTACCAAAACAAGGGCATCAAGCCAATTCTATTCATGTTTTCCTTAGTTAACTTCAGTTCAGTCAAGATTTGAGAATCTATTAATTGTAGACACTATACTGCAAGGCCCTCAAGGATCCAAAGTGAATAGCAAGAATCCTGAAGGAGCTCAGTGGAGTGAGGGAGATAAAAACACAGAGAACTGACTCTGAAACAATGGGATTTCAGTGCATGACAATTCTGTTCCATTAGTAGAAGCTGCCTTTGGAGGTCTGGGTTGAAAAATATTCACAGACATCACTTGTGTGCAACAGAAGAGAATATTATCCATTAGTAATGCCTGCCATTGATGAGGAAACACCTGAATCCATTTGCCATGTGTGATTTAAGAAAATCCACTGGTTTCCTAATAAAATAACAACTTAATCCTCTAATACTAAGAGAGGGAGAATCTTCATAGAGGGAAATGAAGTTGAACGTTGTTACCCCTACGCTTGACCAGTAAGGTGCATCTTGTCCATGGGAAAACACTCACTAGTTGTCTGGCCACCATCCTGCTATGCCTGTCCCTCCAGTGTTCCAGTGCTCTGTTGCTCCTCCAGCTGCTGGTCTATCTTGCACCTACAGAAGTGCTTTCCCTATAATCATGGTACCCAATGCCATGGTAGATGTCCAACTTGGAAACCTAACTCCCAATGTTCTTCACTTAGACTTAGGGTCTGCTTTAGTTCTGTAGATCCTGATTATTCAAAACTTGTTCTCTTATTATATTTTCTGTTGAAATTGTTTCCACTACTAGTGAATCTACAATTCACATCTGCTAAACCATTACATAAGCTATAAAAACTCCAGTAACATACCAGTGCTTCTGTTCCATTATATGGTGTCAAAGTGAACGCATTTGCAAAAAAGCGAAGCTGAGGAAAAGAAAACAGTCATTTTGAGGTGGCTTAGAACACAGTCACAAAATAATAATTCATTTAAATATTAAAAAAGAAAGCCTGGATTTCTGATTTCAGAAAATTTTTTAGGTATCAAAAAAGAAAAGTCAAAAAAGAGATAGCACTTAATCTCCACTACTCTGAGTCAACTTTTGACATGAATGTATATTTACGTCTTATCTTTTTGTTATGCCTGTCCTAAAGAAAGGATATTTCTTCCTTAGCCCTAAAAAAAGAAACATTTCCTAAAAACATTTTCCAAATGTGTGCTGGAGGAACAGTGGTCCTGAAAGATATTCAAATCACAAAAAAGCACAAACACACACAGTCACAGTTAATGATCATAAAATGTAAAATCATCCCCTTCTTGGGAATTCTTAGTGCATATGATCCCAGGTTAACACTGCTTAACACATGTTTCCAAAAATTACATGATTACAGAACTCTTGGGATCTGTGGTGTGCAATCAATGAAACATTCCTTTTAAAAGAAGTAGACACTCAGATGGTGGTGCTGTGGTAACACACAGAGTATGAAGCAGAGGTTACACACTCAGTAACTTCAAAAACCTCAAGTTAAGTGAAATTTAGGTTCAACTACTAGGTCCCAAATTGAAGAGATTTTATAAACTAAGAAAAGAAGTGTTCATCACTCACCAGCCATATCACTGGAATCAGCAGTGTCCATAAAAAGGGAGGGAGAATTCCATACGTCATGTTCGTCAGTACTGTACCTGGACACACCACACTGGAATAGAGACCCTGGGAGCACAGAAAGGAGTAGCAATAGGACATTAATTCAATGTATACTGACTCAGTCCAGCTACATGCTAGTTAATACAAAAGGTACACATATGAGCCAGGAAGCCAGGTGAGGAATAGTTTATGCTCTGAATTGTTCTTGAAGTTGAGTAGGACATTTCAGTTGAGGAATCATATACTAAGAACCCACTATGAAAGGCACTCAGGATGCAAAAATTAGTAAGATAAAGTCTCTATTCTCAGGGAACTTGAAGTATAAAGAATAATCAATTTTGAAGTTCAATGGAGAAAAGCAGGGCCTGGTTATCTGAGTTTTCCATGTTATTGACTTAAGTGAAGATTAACTTTTCAATCATGATGAGTGCTTAAGAAAAAAAGATGCAAAAGTGCAGTCCTTGCCTTCAAGAAATTTCTGGTCTAATAAATAGACAGCTAAACCTTATATATGTGTCTGTTTCTCTGCAGATACACAAGACCCATACTTGTGGCTTGAAATGAGTGCTCCTGGCATCAGAGAGGAACAAAGGGCTGCATGTGATGCCACAAAGATTTTCTCCACATAATGACCTCTAAATCAGGTCCTTAGCCTAGAATTCATTGTTATAGAAAGTTTGGTCCTATAGAGAGAGGCCCAATTAACACACAGTTTTTGTTCATAGAAAGGGCCCTATGTGATCTGGGGTTCCAAGATTTGTTTTACAATTTTATTTGGTTTAATTTTTACTACACATTTTACCTTGTGTTGATATTGACCATTAAAACTCATATTTTTATAATTTTTAATCTCATTTTTTCTTTTAAATAAAAAAACTAGGATGTGTCAGTATAACACAGATAATTCAATGAAAACATGGTCCCCTGGGCAACAGAAGCTGGAAGATTTCCTTCCTTTACTTAGTGCTGCAGAGGCGTGGCCAGTGCTGGATACAGATCATCCTTCCCTAAGAGTCCCCGTGATTTAACAGCAGTCCTCTAAAAAAAAGTCACAAGCTGGGATTCATCCTTAGTAATTCGTCCTGAGAAAGTCACATATTCTAACCCAAAGAAAGTTAAGGAAAAAAAATTTCTTATTCTAAGAACTATTCAGTCCTAAATGAAGAAATCTTCACTAAAATCCAGGGATTCTGGCATATACAACTGTCTGACACTGATAAACAAAAATAAATAAATAAACAAGAAGACAGTCGTATCCAAGACTGCATCCTTCCACATATTTAGTTACAGGGAATAACCATGATGATCCTGAGTATTTATATGCAGCTTGTGTGGGGAACCATTAACAGCTGACTAAAATCTGTCAGGTAGACGATACAGAACCTGACAATACTTCCAGTAATAAAGACTTTAAAAGGAATCCCCGAATGTTCTTTTTTAGCTTCTTCTTTCCTTATAAAAGTCAAGGAGAAAAAGTCATTGGCTGAGAACCAAACCTAACAGATTTTACCAGCATTAGCTAAATCTCACTTTTTTTGTAAAAGATGAAATCTCAAACCTTACTTGACAATCGAAACTTAAATAAGATCTCAGAGCTTCTTATGCCCCACTAAAAGGGAGTTTCCAGTGTACCAGGAAGCAGCTGTGTCAAGTTTTTAAACATTTCAAGAAACTTTAGAAGGAGGCGCACAATTGGACCAACATACTAAGTACAAGCTGTAATAATAACAGCCAACACATGCATACACACAAGAACATATACATATATGTAGGCCACATGCATATACCCACATATACACTTTCATACACATGCACAAAACTCATGCATGTACATAGGCACTCCCCTATGTGGGCATACACACACATAGGCCCACACATGCACACCCACATGTACACGTGTGCAGACACATGCACATGCCCACTCTCACATTCTGAACACAAAGCACTGCTGTGACTGTTTCATATAGGTTCCCTTGCTCAATCGTCCCAACAAAACTGTGAGGTAGGTACCATTATCTATCCCTACTTTTCAGATGAGAAAACTGAGGCACAGGGAGATTAAATAACTCGCCTAAGGTTACAAAACTAGTAACAGAGCTAGGACTCAAATCTAGTTCCAAAGACTATGCTCTTAGCTTCTGCTTTATACCACCTCCTTCACTAAGATGAGTGATTCCAAGAGCTAGATCACAGAATTCATCAGATAAAGGTCTCCATTCCACAATAAGCCAGGTCTAGACCATCATGTAAGGTTTATATTTCTGTATCTAATCCATGATCAAAGAAGCTCCCTTGAGAGAAAATAAAGTTTCGTAATCATCTTTTTATTTCACTTTCCTCCTCAACCCTAAATCTGAACCCATTCCCTAAACATGGTAGGTCTTTTATAATTGTTAGCAGAATTAAATTTCTCCAAAGCCCCAAAGCCCCACACTCATACAATATAGAACAAGTAAACAAAAGAAAATGCCCGGGGGGGGGACTGGAGAATTCAGAAACATACAAAGAAGCTATAAACTGCAGACCAGCATGAGACTGACAAGGGTCACCTTCTCCAAAGAAACACTCTCTAAGTCCAGATCCTCACAGAGACAGAGATCTGGAGTCTGATCTAAAATCACCACTATCGTCTGGGCGAGGTGGCTCAACCTGTAATTTCAGCACTTTGCAAGGCTGAGGCAAAAGGACTGCCTGAGCCTGGGGGTTCGAGACCAGCCTGGGCAACTTGGTGAGATCTCATCGCTACAATAAATCACAAAAAACTAGCCGGGCGTGGTGGTGTGCTGTAGTTCCAGCTACTTGGAAGACTGAGGTGGGAGGATTGCCTAAGCCCAGCAGGTTGAGGCTGCAGTGGCTGAGCATGCCACTGCACTCCAGCCTGGGTGACAAGAGTGAGACTCTAACTCAAAAAAAAAAAAAAAAAAAAAAAAAAAAAAAAAAAATAAATCACCACTATCCAGAAGTCTTCACAACTACTCGGCTGTCCTAGAGACCTCAGATACGACACACTAGAAGGCAGAACAGTACAATGGAAAAGGGTTAAGCTGTAAAATCAGCTTGGGCTCAACTCTGAACTCACCATTTACAAGTTGCATCACACTTGGGTAAAGGACTTAATTTCTCTGAGCTTTAGAAATCTGAAAATGAAAATACTCAGACTCTCCTCACTGTAACAGGGACGGTATTAAATGACATACACAGATGAAGTGTTCAACACCTGAAACATTGCAAGTACTTAAACAGTAGCTAGTCCATGCTAATACGTTTTTGTAAACAAACAAACAAATAAATAATAACAATAGAAAATAGTAGCTATTGTTATTTTTAGTAGTGTTGTTCTGTTAACAGAAATTAAAATTCCTGAAGAACTACAGAATGGCGAATGAGCTACCCGTACCTAAAAGGTCAGGAGCAGTTATCTCTGCTCTAAGACTTTTATAAACATCAACTACCAAACTAAACTATAACAGTTACTAAGAGATCAATTGTGGTTAATTAAGAGACCCCATCCTGCTATTTTCATATCACAGAGACAAGTCTTACCTGCTGGTTGAAGTTCCTGTTCAAAGCCACATTCAGGAGGTCAGTGGCATATTTGGAAGAGCTGTAGGGTTCCTTGCCTTTGCTGTGCTGGAAATCCTCAAGGCTGAAATTAGATTTCCTTGCACTGCGAGATGACGTCCAGATGAGTTGAGATGGGTTGTCACTGTGACAAAGGAGAGGTTCCAGTTCCCGGACCTGAGTAAGAAAACAAAAGAACAAAAAATATTTAAAAACACTGGCAGAGTACATATCACAGTTTTGAAACCACTATGCATGTATTATGCTAAAATTAACAATTAAGTAAATCGATGGAGGATGGCAGAAGGCAAGTGTGTCACGGTTGAAGTGAGACATCAACAATAAGCAAGGGAAGGAAGCTAGAATGATCCATATGGTAAGAGATTATGGTTGGAGACATGGGTATTAACTCATGTGTAGCTAACAGAAATACAGATCAGTTGTATATAAAAATATGTATAGATTATGTATACATATATGAGTTAGTATAGAACATATATATTTCCTTGGTCTGCTAGCTCAGAGGGTCTAGAAGAAATAGATCTCAATAGCAACAAGCACCCAGATCTTGGTTTCTAATAAGCATTCTCCAATAAAAGGAACCAGGTCTCTTTAGAAAAAAACGGCTGATTCTAGGACGGAGGCAGGAAATAGTTTGAAGCACCTTGTAGTGCCAGAAAGCAAGAAAGTGTGCAGAATGAAAGCTAAAACAAAAACAGAAAACCATAATGATGGGTGTAGGTCAAAGAGACACAGGTGCCAACTGAAAGGACTCCCAGTGGCTAAACCTAGAACAATTTGATCAAGAAAATAAGTAGTATTTATAACTTCAAAGTAGAAAATACATATCCATGACTCCATATGGGTATAATAAATGATTGAATAAAGAAATAAATAGAAGTAAACAGACAAATTTCTCTTGCAGAAAAATCCCAAACAATTTCTGTCGAAAATTCACCTATGAGAAGGTAGAGTGCTACCCCGTAAGTGTGGGTTATACAAAGTAACGTTCTTCCAAAGAGTATAGTGTGACAAGAGGAAAGAAAAAGAGTCACTTCACAATGGAGAAACCTGACAAACATCACCTCAAGCCAGGTGATCAAGGTTAACATCAACATTCATAAGTCATATTGACAGTATATGCTCTGGATATGATGTCATAAGAACAGCACTTTACCTCTGAGGTCTTCCTCCCTCAAAACATGTTCTGCAGTTTAACCACAAGAAAACTACCAGACAGATACCAATGGAAGAAGTCTCAAACTACCTGAGCAGTAATCCTCAAAACTGTCCAGGTCATGAAAAACAAGGAAAGTCGGAGAAACTGTCAAAACCAAGAGGAGCCTAAGGAGATTTGACTACTAAATGGAATGTGGAATCTTGGATAGGATCCTGGAACTGGAAAAGGACATTAGCCAAAAACTGAGAAACTGAATAAAACATGGACTTTAGTAAATGATAATGTATTAGAATTACTTTATTTATTTTGACAAATGCACCTCACTAAAGCAAAATGCTAACAACAGGGAAACTAGGTGTAGGGCATACAGGAACTCCTTATGCTATCTTTGAAATAATTCTGAGTCTTTTTTTTTTTTTTTTTGAGTGAGCATCTCACTCTGTAACCCAGGCTGGAGTGTAGTAGCAGGCTCTCAATTACTGCAGTCTTGACCTGCTGGGCTCAGGTGATCCTTTTGCCTCAGATTCCTGAGTAGCTGGGACTACAGGCATGCGCCACTAAGCCTGGCTAATGTTTTGATTTATGTAGAGATGAGGTCACTCTAAGTTGCCCAGGTTGATCTCAAACCCTGGGCTCAGGCAATCCTCTCCACCTCTGCCTCCCAAAGTTTTGGAATTACAGGTGTGAGCCACCGCACCCAGCCAATTCTGTAAATCAAAAATAGTAAATCTATTAAAGAAAAATCGACTAAGAAACTTCCAGATGTGCTCCATGCTTGCAAAGAATAAGCCAAATGTAATAAAGAAAACACATAAATGTAAAATTCAATTAACTGGTTCTTCAATTATACTACTATACTAAGCCTAGAAAGCTATAGAAACTACCTCACTAAGTATTGGCTTTTATTAAGACTTTTTACCAGGATAAAGTGGCCAAAGACATTGGTTTCAAACACCTCCTGGAGGCCATCAGCGGTGATCTTGTCATCCTGGGTCAGCAGTCCTTCAGCTGTGGAGAACATATGAATCACTTTTCTGAAACAGCAGAAGATAATTGTATGATTTTTTAAAGTTTCTTTAACTGAAGATACTGAAAAAACTTCCTGACCCATCTTCCACAAATTGAACTGTACATCCCTTGATTTTGTAATGACAGGAAGAAAATACCTATTTCTTAGACTAGATTACTATATTAAACAAAGTATAAAAATGCTCTTTTCCCCGACTCACAGACTTGAGTACACACCTATAGCTCACACTAACCATAGGAACATGAGTCTCTCAAAAACCTGATGCTGAAACTCCCTTTACCTCTTTCCACATCAGGCTATAGGTAAACTGTTCGGAGGGAATAACAGCTATGCCAAGAAAAAAAGGCCTTCCCTGCAAAGAGTATGTTTAATTGCTGAAAAAATGCAAATTGTTTTTTACTGGGAATTCTTGGAGCATCGAACATAATACAGTGTTTTGCTGTGAGATCAATTTAGTAAGTCAAGACCAGTGTGGAATTTGTCTGTGTGAGTGTGTGTGCATATGTATGTTTTAACAGAAGAGAAATAAAACAAAAGTAGCAGTGTAGTAAGTGGCACGTAGTAAGTAGCACCTTTATGAATAAGTGTACTGGGTCACAAAATAAGTTTTCTTTCTTACTCTAGGTTGTGGTTCAACATTTTTGAAAGCCATTACACTAATGTGTACTGAGAACTTCCCAGGAAGACATTAACTCTCTGCATTTTCCCAGTCTACTGGTCAGAGCACCTCACATACAGCTAGGAAATGGTTCAAAGTAGCTTTCCTGGGGATTGGAGTCTCTCTGAGAACTCTACCTAATTTAGAAATGTTCTTGCTCACAGGCACATTCAGGCGGACTGAAAATTGACCTTCTAAAATATCCTATCACTTAGAATGTCCTGGAGACCTAGTACACCATAAGAACCAGGACTTGCACCACCGCCCACAAAAGATGAGTGCTTTTCTTTCATAATGTGGTTGCAACACCTTCTTTCTATGCCTTGGACCTTCTCAACACCCCCTTACCTTTCATCCTCTCGACTTAACACATCAAGGGAAGAACTAGGCAGAAAAACAAAGCACTTTCCTGTCAATTAGTTCATCTAGAAAATGGAAATTACCTTGAAAAGAGGCCAGAGAAAAATGCTTTGATATTTAGATGTGGGTTAGGCATGATCCCAGCATTTAGATATACATAGTCTAATCTCTGAAACCTGCAAGTAAAACACCAAGACAAGATTGTGAGTTGCAAGTAAAACTCCAAGACAAACTGGTATATTCTATCTCTAGAATGATTAGAATAAAGAAGGCCTAGCAGAACAGAAAATACTTTTTGAAACAATAAAATGGACACAGCAAACTAAAAGGAACTTATATCAGGGATGCAATATTTTTTTCTCAACAGATTATCTTTAACCACAGTAAATATCTGAACATTCTTTTTTTGACAGTGGCTTCAAACAAAATTTGGGGAGTAACAATGGACTTTGGCCAGGCTTGGTGGCTCAGCCTGTAATCCCGCACCTTTGGGAGGCTGAGGTGAGTGGATTGCCTGAGCCCGCGGGTTCGAGACCCGCCTGGGCAGCGAGACCTCATCTCTAAAATAAATCAAAAAAAAAATCAGCCGGGCATGGTAGAGCATGCCTGTAATTCCGGCTACTTGGAAGGCTGAGGCGGAAGGATCGCTGGAGCCCAGCAGGTTGAGGCTGCGGTGGCCGGGAGCGGCCACTGCACTCCAGTCTGGGCGACACAGTGAGACTCCAACTCAAAAACAAAACAAATAAAAAAAAACAATGGACTTTGAAATCAAATCTCTGATCAATAATTCCTTCTAATTTTGTCCTCCCAATTAGTCACTGCAGCAACACTCTATCTATTAAACCCTCCTTCCTTCTGGTCTTAGAAAGTTTCTTACTTGTTTTCTTTAATACACATCTTTCCTTTTTGACAAGCAAAATTTGTATAATATTGATATTCACCTGACCTGATCTATTAATGCTGAAATCTGAATGTCAAGATATCTGCTAAAATGGGAAATCCATGTGGAAACTCTTCAGTGTTCATGGACAGGTACTACGTTTCGAAAATTATAGACCTTCACAAGAATACAATGAGATTATAAAAGGTGAATTGGGGTAAGGTAGTCTTGGTAGGCTCCTTTCTGAATACTTGTCATGGAGGCGATTACAACATGGTGACTTGAAAAAGCTTTTTCTTATTTAAACTCACATAAGCTTTAATCCAATGGAACCCCTTTAAAACTAGGTTCAAGACAGGTAGAACCTGTTCTTGGGATACTCACAGACACCATAAATATTCAGAACATCTCCTAGAATTATATGCACCACACTATTTCTGTGTCCTCTGTATAACCCAGGACAATGAGGGCCATAGCTATGAATGCTGGGACTTGGAAAACTACACAGTTAGCAATACAGATCACACACAAATATTCTTGATCATCCTATAAATAACTGATAGAAAAATGACTCTACTAAATTGACTATTTAAAATGCTGATATTGTTACCACTGGTTCATCATGTAAGTACCACAAAAAACAGTGTGGGCCTATCTATTATTGATTGTTCCATTATCTAATTTGCAAACTTTCATCTAAGAATGGTAACATAATTGGCTAGAATAAAGAGGAAATGTTTAGCAAAGATACCAAATTAAGCTCTGGTTTCAGTAAGATGATGTACCACTCTCAAAGATGAAATCATTGACACAGTTGCTCTACTCTGGATAAAAAAGAATCACTACTTCATATTAGTTTCACTATTTCTTATTAGTTTTCATCTACACATATCTAATAGAACAGAGTATTACAGATGGAAAGACCAGGTATTGAGGAATGTGCTGCTTTAAAAGCAATCGTAAGGGATCCTTCTGAAGCTCTCTGCAGCTCTAATTTAATTCAGATCTAGAACTAAATGTGTGTCACTGAGTGCCATAGAGCCTTGTCATAATCAAAAGATCTATCTGGACATATTCACACATCCCAATTTGTGAATATCACTACAACCATTATTTCCTAAACCTGGATAATACCACCCATCTCAAAGAAAGTTGTTTTGTAGATGAGATAACGATATCAGAGTTGCAATAAAATGATGAGGACAGACAGCTGGAACAACTCATTCATTACTGGAACTAAATATCTTACTCAATACCGATATACTAAATTTGTGGTAAAGTACCGAATATCTTGAATCTTTGGAGGCAATTGAAAATAATATCAAAAATGTTACAATTTTAAGTTTCAAAAGTCAACTGTATTGGAATGAGCTATTAACTGGGAATGAATGTTCTTTCCTGCCAATAAGGAAATATAACTAAATCTATGCAAAACTGGTAAGAAGTCAGCTGGCTGGGAAGGTTTGGGGAAAGAATGCCTATAAACACAATTTGAAAGTCATAACTTCTCTCCTGACTTTACAGTTTTTAACTCCATAAGGACATTTACTGTGTCACTTCAGTCTTGGAGACTTTAGCTATGGAGAAATAGGATGTGGAACATATCACAATTTATTTGAAAATGGAACCTAGAAAATCTCCTTGGTGTTTTGGAAAGATGATACAGCAGAAAACTCTAAGAGCTCAGGAGTATAAGAGAGAACAACCACATTTACAAAGGGCTGAGGCCACAAAGACCAGCTTTCACTTTGTAACTTGTGTATTTGGAACAGGGAAATGCAAATGACTACCCATACACAAAAATAAAATGTATAATATTTTTCTTCGGAAAATGTCTTCATCAACAAGGCCTTTCTTGTTTCTACTATACTTTATTCTACTGTTCAAGGAAATAAAGCAGTTCCTTAAAGGTCTCAAATATAAAAATATTTGAAAGTTAATTATTCTTGGTAGCCCTAGAGCAGCATGGACTAGTACAAGGTTCTTGACCTTTTTTGATCATGAATTCCTCTTGGTTCTTGAACCAGCCCAACCAACGTAAAATCGGATGACCTTCTTAAGTACATTACCTTTATTTCCGTATCTCTGTTTCTTTACCTGTTAAATGTCAGTGATTTTGTTATATGGAGAAGAGATGTGAAAAACGAATACAAATATCAAAGGAGTTACCTTGATGTAAGGCAGTACAACTGACCACACGTCAGGGAGTACTCATAAATTGATATTCATGAAATAATTATTATCATGATTGAAAATGAAAACACGGTACTGAGACATAACGGGCCACTCTACATGTTTTTTTTTTTTTTAGGTTTTCTTATTTTATTAAATGTTATGCTGCACAATCACGCATGAAAATTCATCAGCAAGATGCATACCTTTGTTTAAGTTCCTTGGCAGCCTGGAAGACTGACTGCAGGTTGCTGACATCCACCTGCACGGTGGTGACTTCAGCGGTGGGGTGAGAGGCCAGCAGGGCAGCACGGACAGCCTCTGCTTTGCTCGTGTTCCTGCACGCCAAACACAGGTGGAGCTCATCGTCCTCCACCAGCAGCCGCTTGCAAAGGGCGAGGCCAATGCCACTGGGAGGACAATTCAGACACAGGAAGTGCGTTATCTGGGATGGTGTCAAGTAGAGGCATTTCTCTCTGGTGCAGAAAACTGATTGTGTCAAACGTGAGCTTCAATGAGAAGCCCAGGCAGACAGAAAGAACTCAAAAATTATTTAAAGAAAGGAGGAATCCTCTAATTCTAAAACAGTCACTTGTTCAGGACGGTGTCCGGTTTGTGTTTCTCTCATTCCAAAAAAGTTCAGTGACACAATAATGGGACCGAAAGTGAGAGTTGTCCCTTAGCCTTTCTATTATTCTGTTCACGAAAGTGGTTTAATACACCACCTGTAAAGGTTTAAAAGAGCACCTTATTAGCTGTTTCCTGTGTATGTGTTTTACTTTACTGTCTAGGTTCCTCAGGTCAAGGGTTCTACCGCCTGTTGGTATCATTGCCACCCTAAGGAGCACCAGAAATCCCTGATAGGAGAACAGATTAATCATTCAGGAAAAGGGATCAGTAACATGGCAGGAGGTGGCAAATCCCTTTCAACTACTATGATTGAATAACCAATAGAAAGAGAACTCAGCATGACTAAGTAGAAGGTAGAAACACATTAAATATTAAGATGAGAACCAAGAAAGGGAAGCAGGGACAAGTATACCACTAAAAACAAACTACTTCAGAAAGAGCACTGTGAAACTGCATGGGACATGGTGACAGCAATCAGACCAGCCTGGTTGACAACAGTGAAAACTGGGGTAATAAGTTCTCTTCCAAGACTTAAGTTGATTCTAGGCAAATATAGAAAGCCCGAAAGAGCCTGAAACCATCAGTAATCTGTTAGCCCTGCCAAGAGAGCATCAAATCTATTTGTTTATTCGTCCTCACTTGAGAATAGTGTGCATTTAATAGAAATACACAATTGCACATATCACAATATATGTAAAATAACACACGAAGTCAATTCTGACTTATTTCAGCACTTTCCACATAAGAAGCACCAATTATTAAAGTCACATAAGAGAGGACACACTAAAAAAATCGCCAATTGCAGACATCCACCAAACTAGCTTACTTAATATTCATATAAGTGGCTAAAAACTGAAAATGGACCGATATGGTATTTAACATATCCTCTGTCTTAATTTCTTAAAAATGCCAAACGCAATTAGTAGAAAAATGGTTTGGTTGGTCTTATCTTCCACATTCTTCATGGAAGTGCAAATGAGAAGTAAAACAGGTGACCAAAGAGGCTGAAAGACCACATGAGCAATCCCGAAACACTTAGGAGCACCCGATCATGCCTTAGCCGGAAAAGGTTAATTTTGTCTTAATTTCTTAAAAATGCCAAACGCAATTAGTAGAAAAATGGTTTGGTTGGTCTTATCTTCCACACATTCTTCATGGAAGTGCAAATGAGAAGTAAAACAGGCGACCAAAGAGGCTGAAAGACCACATGAGCAATCCTGAAATACTTAGGAGCACCCAATCATGCCTTAGCCGGAAAAGGTTAATTTTCTCTAGGTTTCTGAAAAACAGCGCTCTAGCCCTGAGCTAGATGGAATGAGATAGTTTTCTCCTCACCGTCCATTTAATGCTCATGGATGTTGACATTTGGCTGGGGGTGAAAGTCCAGACAAAACAGACAAAAACACCAGGTATATAAAACATGACCACGTGGTCAGTAGCAAACTTCGGGGCACCCACGGTAAACACTGAACAAAGATTAGAGACAGGGGGCGGGGCTCGCCTGGGAAGCTCCCTTTTCGACATTAATCACTTACTAGCGCTCTGTTCTTTCCACTGTCATACTTAATTCAGCTCCTGAGCACCTCAAGAAGCCGACATGTCCCCATACCTCCTGCGTTGGAGGGCCCAGAGAATCGTGGGGCAGGGTCTCGGCCAGACTCCCAGCCTAGGCAAGATCAGGGTCCGGCGCTCCCGGAGTCCGTTCAAGGCGAGTGGCACAGCCACCTTCCCTCGGACCCCTGATCTTCTGGCGCCTCTGCCAACCCAAAGGAAGCCTCACCTGCTCGCCCCGGTGATCAAAACCACCTTCCGCATTTTCTAGCACCCCAACGCCGGGCAGTAAAGCACACACCTGCAGCAACACCCGGAAGCTTCAAGACCCGTGGAGTCGGCCTGACCACGCCCGCGCGCACACTCCACCAATCAGAGCACCGCCAGGCCCCGCCTCCCCTTGCGTCATCGTCTCTGCGTTAGGCCCTCCAATCGCAGTCCGCCGTCCGCGAGTCGCGCGGGGGCCGGGGTGGGGTGAGATAGACCGAGGGGCGGAGCCGCGTGACGCGCAGGCTCGGGCCAATGCGGGCTCTCCCCGCCCCTCCGCCGCGCCGGGGTCCGCCCCGGGCCCGTCCTTCTCGCAGGCTCTAGGCCTTTGTCGCAAGGGGGGCGTGTCCCCAGCCAAGCGCTGGGGCCCAGGGTCGGTGGCGCGCTCGGATCTACGCCCCGGCGCCTCAGGTGGGTGCTTCATTATGGGAAGTCCTCAGGACATTTGCCCCAGTGCTCATTTTAGAGGAAAGGTTTGGGTCTAGGAGTCTGGTAGCTAAAGTTCGGGGATTGTTGTCTGCTTCCTTTTCCACAATTTTTGGATGCGTAGAACCAAGCATTGTGCCCAGCTTCTGGTTCCAGAACTTCTACTTCTGTAAAGAAGTCTTTTTGGGAAAATGAGCATTGATTTTAGTAAGAATTTTACGTAGAATTATGCAGGTTACCAATATGCGAAACTTAGAATGTGGTGTGAAATCAAAAAGTCTCAGAACTTTATTCTGACTGTAACCTCCTACATCGGTGCATCAAGTATCTGTTCTGTGTTACCAAGCCATCCCAGGTGGGTACTTTAAGAAAATAACCCACCCCCAAAGGAATTACTAGAAAAAATAAAAATAAAAGGGCATAAAAAAATGCAAGCGCCAATACTTTATTATTAGATTCAGCACATATAAAAGTACTCTGTCACACTGCTATAAAGCTTCAAATGCTTACTCTAGGTAGTAGACTGGTTTTTGTAGTAGACTGGTAACGGAACCATCACCCACCCCAGCCCATGATGAGTAAAACTGTGCGTCATACATCAATCTCTACTGAATCTAATCTACTTTGTAACTTCTTTTAAAGTTTTCGTTATTTTTGAACAACAATGATCTCTAAAAGACAGAGATCATCTATTTTGACTTTTGATAGTAGAGGTTTTGATTAATGGTACCAAGCTCAGTAATCATCTATCTTACATCAACAAAATTAGATTGAAAGTACAAATCTAATTATTTGTTCAAATCTAAATATTTGAACATTTTATTTCTAAACAAAATTTCTTTATTGTGGGGGTGGAACTCACAATATCCTTATTTCACTTTCAATTGTTCTAAAGAGACCACAATTTAACAATGTTTTCTGAAAAGCACTAGAGTGAAATTAACCCCAGTCATGAGAGTCTAGACTCAAAGCCTCCTTTTAAAATTTCCTAGGGCTCAAAGGTGATACATATGAGAGGGAATACAGAGTCCTGTGGCTGTCCCACAGAAAATTCACTCCTACAAAGAAAGGAGATGGCCTAGCCTGCTGAGACCCAGCATCACCGCAATCTTGGGATGATAGTAGGGTTGGTAGTCACTAGTGTAGAACAGACTCAGTTAAGAGAAGGCCAGAAGATGTCTGAGCAAGACCAGCATGCTCACCATGATTTCCATTCAAGCCAAGTAAGGAAACTTCAGTCCCTTCTTCCTTTTTTCAACTAATTGCTTTCAAGGTGTTGCAAACTTCAAAAGTTGGCCTGTACTTCCAGAGGTGGCAGAGAGACCAGGAGAATAGATCTCTGTTAACAACAGTTGTCATTTAATTTTTTTTTTTTGAAAGTACTTTATTACACATAGGACACAGCACAATGCCAGTCGTAATATATTTGTATTAATAGGTGAATGGGTAAGGCTGGTTTGTATCAACCCAAGCTATTCATCTTAAATTTGTGTTGTTCATGGGTTCATTCTGTTTTCCTAGAAACCAGAAGAACAACGTGGCACACAGTGATCTCATCTATCCTTAGCAAACTTTAGCTCTGTGATTGCAATAGTAGATGCAGCAATTCCCCCTTTGACTATCTCTTTACTACTTCATATAATAAATTTGCCTCTATCCTAAGCCCTGAAACAGATCTCTAGTTCCTTTTATAAATGTGCCTGAAGCATTCCTTAGATAGACAAGGATGAGTAAAGGTATCTTTAGCCCCCCATAACAGAGCTCTATTCTCAGTCCTTATAAAGCTCTCCAGAACTAACTTGCCTCTAGTTTGCAAATAGGGGGGAAAGAATAACTGCTAATGGGGCCAAGTATCTTCTTTTGTACGTGTCTTTCATCCCTTTCCTTCAAATCATTGTATATCCAGCCTGGCCCCAAACTACTTCAGAAGTGGAATTTGACCCACTTCACTAGATAGTAAGAGGTCGTGTACTGCCTGTACACAAGGATTTAGTGTTCTGGAGGACCGAAGGACCAGAAGACTCAAGTGCGTACATTTCTTTTTCAAATATGAAATGAATATAAATTATAAATGGAGGTAAATTGTTTGCTTGACTTCCACATTTAACAAAATACAGAGTTTTTCAAGTTGTTAGTGAAAACATAATCTCTATCTTCAGTAGTGACTTAAGATTCAGATGTATGCATAGCATGTCTATACCATCTCATGTATGTACACATATGACTATGTCACTCATATCTACCTTTAAACTTTGGCATTAGATGTTGACAACAGAATTGTACCTCTTTGAATGTCTCTGCTGTCCCTTTTTTTTTTCCTCTCTCCTTTGCCCCCACTCCCACTCCCATCACACAGCACTTGAATTCTGCTCCTAGTCTTAGAATCAAACCAGAAAGTCTGGGGAGTCAGATTGTGTGTTCATAAGTCATCTGGTTATTCTCTAAGAATTTATATCCATTCCCTTATCTACCATGACCATTCCATATGTTCAGAACACTTACAGATATTCTGAGAAATATTCTCAGAAAACTAAAAGTATAAACTTATTCTTCAGGGGCCAGGTAAAAAAAATGTGTTGTTTTGAGTGGTTTCGTTCTAAACTCTGTTTTGAAAACTGAGTCTACCTTCTGGTTGTTCATAGTTTTTCTTGGTTTGTGCATGTGTGGGCAGTTTGAAACAGACCATGTTTGGATTTAGACGGATTTCTGTGTATCAGACAAGCTCTGTAACCATAACAATAAAGAATCACCAATAACTCTGGACTGGATTCCCCAGAACTGGATTAATTAATGTGAGGACTTAAAATCCCAGTATCTAGTATTGATATGTCAAAGGCCAAGATGCTTTCCTTCTAATAAGCAGCCAACTAATATGTTAGAGGCCTATTTAAATAATTATCTGTGAGATAGTCCCAGCAGGCATCCATCCACATCACATGTGAGGGGGAAGCCCCCCAAAACTGGAATTATCTTTTGAAGGGCAGGCCCCTTGTATTACACTCAGAATTTGTTCCTCTGGATCAAACAGTCAACCAAATTTTTATCTGGAGGTTCTGAGGAGGTTGCGTCATGATGTATGGAAGAAACGTCCCAAGTTGTGACAAACAGGTGACTGGTTCTTCCACCATGACAACACACCTGCCCACACCGCACTGAGTGTTCAGCAGTTTTTGACCAAAAAATGGCATAACCCCTGTGCCCTACCCTCCTTGTTCACTCAATCTTGCCCCAAACAACTTTTTTTGTTGTTTCTCCAAATGAAAAATGTTCTCAAAGGGTAACGTTTTGCCAGTGTAGAAGAGATGAAACAAAAAACAGCAGAAGGACTAAAAGCCATCAAAACTGACAAGCTCAAAAACTGTTTTGAGCAGTGGAAAGTGTCTTGATAGGTGTATTGCATCAAATGGAGAATACTTTGAAGGTGACTGAAGTTTAAATATGTAAGAATAAGTACCCAATTTTTAAATAAATAAATCTTGGGGTTTTTTGGGGGGGTTCCTCCTTCATACACCCTCTAGCTCTGTCCCCATGCCTTCTCCAGAAGTGATGTAAGGGTGAAAAGAGTAAGGGTTACAAAACCCAGGACTGGCACTGTTTACACAGAAAGGAGGATCCATCAGTAGCGTGACTCTTTAATCATTGTTATTTACAATTTATCATCTGACAGACTTAAAGAGAATAAATAAAGAAAAGGAAATATACAGTTGGTATCACGTTGCTTTTTCTAATACAGAGAATTTTTATGTATTCTATTTTGGAATGACTATGATCGCTTCAAGCAGAAATTAAATCCTTTTGCTATTTACCCTTTGACAATTCACATCATCTTCCAAAGCCTGAAGAATAAGGCCCAGATGTTTCCTCATCATAGGAAGAGTGCACCACATTGTTGCAGAAACTCAGTCCTCAGAAAAAGTTACCAGACAATGGGATCGAAGAGTAGGATATCATGAATAATAAAGGACATAAAGCGTATAGGCTAGATTACAAACTCATGGTGTGTCCGCAGGAATCCCCTCAACTTTCAATTGTTTCCAAGCCTCTCTTCAAGAATATGGTTTCACTTTATCCCATTGTGTTTCCCTTGATTCTCTGAAACTTCTTCCTTGATATGTAACTGTGTTTGTGGGTGAGCATTGGCTGGATCGGGACTCAGGTCAGTCTCCTATGGAGGCACATGACTGTTGACAAGGTGTCTGCAGGAGAAACTGGATAGCTCGTTTTAAATGGGCTGTGATTTTCTAGTGCCCTGTGGGGATGTACCTTTCATTTGCTGTCTACGTACCCCAAAGAACAAGGTATTTCCATAGATTGAATTCATTATCAGAAGGTATACAAACAGAGGCCATACTTTACCAGGTACAAATCTGAGCATTTTTTTCTCTTTCCTCATTTGAAAATAAACCCTGTATATTACAGTAAAGCAATTCTCCCTAAATTCACCCTAGTTGTGCTGGATTACAAGTTTCTGTTTCAGTCTTTTATTCATTCAAAAAAACCAATATTCAGCGAATATTTATCCTGTGCTCACAGTGTCTTAGGAACTTTATAAAGACACACACTATTATAAACTTGGGGCCCTTAAATAGAGAACTTTAAAGTGTCATTGCAAAACTCAAAGCTGTAATCAAAATGGAGCTTCAACTTTTCCCCCAGGTTGCTGCTGTGTTTGCAATTTAATGTGGCCCAATGTGGTGGTTATTCCATTTAATAATAGATATTTAGGTGAATGAAACTTCTCTACCACTCTGAAGCTAGTATTTTATCAGATGCTGGAAGTCTATAAATTGTATTATAGTCCCTCCATGAACTACCTCTGGTGCCATTAACCAGGTGCCACCTAATTCTTGACCAAGATACTGGTTTACTCTAAGTCCTCTGCTTGTTACCACTACTAATCCTACTCACTTGTAGGCACTGTAGGAGTCATCTAGAATATCGCTTTATACCTGGTTCTCTAGCCAACAAGCTATGGACAGGTTTTACCATCTTTTGTGTTGCCTAATCCTTCAAAGTTTTTCTTGGATTGTTTCAGATGCCAAACAGCCGAAATAATCAGAAAATGTGGAAGCCATGTAGATAGGATATAGCTCATTGATAAAGGAACAGATTATTTTATTATATTATTATTCTGTATTCTCTTTCCTGCTGTATCCAAGCAAAGCCAGATTACACATCAGCAAGAATTAAAAGTATCTATCAACTAAATGAGTACACATGGGGAAACTGGTGAAATCTGAATAATGCCTGTTGTTTAGTTAATAGTATTATCCTAATACCAATTTTCTGAAAATGGACGGTGGTTAAAAGTGGACTATGTAAAATGTTATAAAGTGAAGAAAACTGGAACTAGGGCAAGGCCATTCTACTATTTTTGCAAATTTTTGTGAGTCTTAAGTTACTTCAAAATAACAAGAATTTTTTGACGCATACAGCAACTAAACAATTACCCACAACTCTTTTGCCACCAAGCAATACAGCTAGTTACAGCCGAAAATTCAAATTAAATCAAGTGCCAGAAATCAAATCACTGTGAACTACTTCAGTCTCTTTCTCTCTTAATCCAGCACTCCAAAATATTTACCAAGTGAAAAAGGATTTGTCTTTATAAAAATCTTAAATTTCAATTCAGAAAGATTTCCCAGTAAAAATTAGGATCTATATCTTCCCGGAGATACAGGAACATCAGGGATCTGCCATGCACTGCCAGAGGACAGAAGTCTTACTGAAAAGATTCAGATGGCAACTTCTAAGTCTATAAATCCAACTTATGATCAAAGACTTAAGAGCCATAGATTGTAATTTTCTTCTTTTTTTTGTGGGGGGGTAGTTTTGGGCAAAACAGATGCTATTCTGTTTTAGTATATTTCCTTGGAACATCTTCATCTTTTTCCTTCTTACAGGCACTCCTTTTCTTCTGTTCTCCTTTACTCAAAACACATGGTTTAGACCCACGTCATGGCTGTCTTGTGGGAAGCCTGGATGGGACTAGAAAACACATGTTTCCAATGTGGCATATACCTCTTTATGCAGATATCAGACAAGATTTAATTTTGTCTAATTTATGCCTATCGCTTTAATGTTTGCCTATGGCTATTTTGGGCACAGCAATGATGTTATTAAAAATGAATTTCATTGACAGAGGAAGAGAACAGAACATGAAGATTCATGAACTACCATAAACTCCCAATCTCTAGGTCTTCATTTCCAAAACAGCACTTCCAAAACCAAGTGCATTTCAGGCAAAGAGTTGATTTCTTCTCACCAGCACTTAAAGTGGTCTAGAATGCACAGGTGCTCAAACTGCCTTCCTCACCCACTTCCTCACTTGACCCAAGGTCATTCCTTGATGGTTGCTTATGTCTTTTGCATGACAGACTTGTTCTTTCTTACAACTCTGAAAAACTTTCTTCCATTTCATATATTGTACCTGACTTCATTTTTTAATACTTGTATCATCTCTATCATCCAGAATTTCTTCTTTCTTATTATATCAAGATGCTTAATTTTTCTATCTCCTCTCAAATTTCTCTTTAGAGAGATCTACCTTCTTGCTTCAGAGTGGATTCCCAGCTACTCCAGCTACCCCCGTTTCTACCTTGCTCAACCTACCCCTCTCCTGTGTCTTTCCTGTGCACTCTCCATTCCTTTTTTTATGTAGCCTCCTTTCTAGCCCCTGCTTCCTTCCAACTCATATGCACATTCGTGTACCCCCTTTTTAAACTCCACTTGCATACAACCCTCTTTGTTATACAGTCTTGTACACTGGCAAGTGATCTTTCCACAGATTAAAGACCACATTTGCTCCTTAGGCACCTCTTTCCACTCCAGATCTTTTCTGATCACATGTGTGTCTAGACAGCACAAGATTTCGACCTAGCTGTCAACACATTAACTAGCAAGAGTATAAATTTAGATCTGAAAATCCCCAAACACAATCTGGACAAGAAGAGGGTAACTCACTACAAAGGTCATAATGTCCTGCAATTTCTATCATTTTTTTTCTATCTTCTTTTCCAAAAAAGCCCTAACTTCATTCTCCTAATTCAGATTTGAACTACTTTTAAATTCTACCTACTAAGAATTGCCTTTGTTGGGTCACTTAAGTTTGTGCTATTAACTCTATAGGCATGACTAAGCTAGAAGTTAAACTTGTGTCTGTAATACAAAAGTCTCAGTGCCAGAAATTGAAGACTTCCTCATTCCAGAAAAAGATACATATAGGTATTACATGATAATACATATTGAGCAGCCACCTGGAACAGATTACTTCTATGGCTCAAGGCCAGGAAAATCTAGACATAGTAAGTTCATTTAAAATTTTTTTTTTTTTTTTTTTTTTGAGTCAGAGTCTCACTCTGTTGCCCAGACTGGAGTGCAGTGGCTGCTCCCGGCCACCGCAGCCTCAACCTGCTGGGTTCCAGCGATCCTTCCGCCTCAGCCTTCCAAGTAGCTGGAACTACAGGCGCACACTACCACGCCCGGCTAATTTTTTGACTTATTGTAGAGATGAGGTCTTGCCAAGTTGCCCAGGTGGGTCCCGAACCCGCGGGCTCAGGCAATTCACTCACCTCGGCCTACCAACGCGCGGGATTACAGGCTGAGCTGCCGAGCCTGGCCCATTTTAAACATTTTTTAAAAATGGAATACCCAGTGAATTGGAGCAGAATAATAAAAAGAAAAAAGTGGAGAGACATTAGGCAAAGGAAGGGGAAATGATATTGTTTTCTCTTGCTACATAAGAAGTCACAGCATGGTCTGGATGTAGCCCTACCGGAGGCATGTGAATATAGGCTGAGGTCCTAATTGCAAGTTCCTTTAATTCTAATACAGTTAACATTTACCCTGAAAGCAGAATGTGGCAGTTTCCAAGATAGAACATGTCCAGCCCTGTACATTATCAAATACAATGTAGAAACAACGATGTGGAAATACCTGGTAAACCTAAAGCATTATGCAAATGGCATGTGTTACTATTACTACTAATACAGTGATTTCTTCCATGTTCTCTTTTGGTGACCACAATTTTCAGAGCAGGAGACAACCAGGTTACTGAAACCACATCAGTTATATTAATAGATCCAATTAGATAATTGAATCTATACTAGATATATCAGTACCAGAAGGGACTTCAAGATTATCAAATCCAATTTTCTCATAGGTAAAAAAACAAAATGCAGAGAGACAAAGTGATTTCCCCAAGATAGCATGCTTGGTTTGAGGCAGGAAGAGGATCACAGCTCCCAAATCAATGCCCTTCTGACTCTCAAACCAATGTCTCTCCAAAGTTAGTTTGGGGAGAGACTAAAGCCCAAAGTTATAGGATAACTATGGGGAAAGGTCATTTGCTAGGGTCAGAAGAAGACCTGCAAAATGGAGCTTGTGGACTTGGGATTTATGCTTATGCTGGACCTGGGACAATGCTGAAGGCTGAGCAGGAGAAATACTCATGTTCTGGAGAAACTGCAGAGAGGTGAACTGGTGAAGGAAACAGAGGCAGACAGGTCAAGACTATTACTTCTCACCTTCAGAAGCTTATTTTGTCATCTTTTCTTGTTTTTCCTCAGTGAAAATTATGGGTTCCCTTTTACAGCCTCTCACTGAATGTGAGAATTTGTAGAGTGTGAAAACTCAGAATCTTCTCTGGGGGGATTCCTACTTGGCAGCGTGTCCATTTCCATGAACTCTGAAACCAAAGCCTCATACTTTCTCTTCTGCTGGTTACATCATCTTGGAGGCAAAAATGTGTATATTAAACAGTCGTAATAGGTGCTCAGCCTGTGCTTTGAAGTCAATGACTCTCAGGGTAGGAAGGACATTTAATATAGTCTCATACCACCATATTCCTTGTGTTGAAATACCCCTGTCTTTCTTGCTCTTTCTAGCTCTTCAGTCTATAGTCGGACCTTTTCAGTGACAAAGAGCACCCCATCTCTGGGGGCAACCTATTCATTCTTGTATGTTCTGAATGCTATGTTTTCCCTAATCAGGAACAGAAATCAGTCTCCCTGTAATTACTCCTCAGCCCTAGGCCAACATTTTGGGGACACTCAGAACAGATTGATTCCCTGCTATGCATCACCTTTAGGTATTTATGCCTGAGAAATTCATCTGGGGCTGAATTCAGTCCAAAGGTCCCACAGAACCTTCATCTATTAAAAGATCTGGGAGATTGGGACAAGATGACCCGAAGGGCCTACTGTCAACATATCAAAGCACCAGTCTTCACTGATTAAAAAATCAGGTCTTCACTAAAACACACACATGAAAACGTCTGAACAAGACAACGAAGAGAGCCCTCTGTAGAATCACAAATGAATAATTGATAGCACACCTGTCCTCCATCACCCTCCTTTCCTATGTCCATTATCTATTCAAGAATCCTTCCATGCATGAGGTACTGGTTTTTGGTAAATGATCATTTCCTTCATAAATCCTTACAGCAGACATTCATTCTTATTCATATACCTTGTTGCTTCACATATGAACTTCAACCTTGACTCCTGCCCATGAGTGAACAAACCATCCATTCCAAGAAACTGGGGTTTTTCGAGAATATATCATTCACTTTGACAGAAGAGGGAAATATAGAGTGAGACATGTCCAGTGGCCAAATAAGGCAATCGTCTGTGATTACTGAGTCCTCAAATTCTCCACATCTTTCAAGTGTTTTCCCTAAACCTAATCTCATGTTTTCCAAGACATCAGTATTCAAGTTCTTCTTTCTGAAGATGTTTTTAAAGTGACATACAAAAAATATTGTAGAATCTGCACATTTATAAACACAACCATATTTAACCTTTATAAATTATCTGAATTTTCTAGCCTTTGTTATCCAACACTTTGGCATATTGAGTAAGATTTCTTTTACTAGATTTTCTCTGCCCTAGGCTTTTTTTTTTCTTTTTCAGTTCTTTAATGTAAAAAAAGAAAATATATGTGAGTCGGGAGTAGGGAGTGGACTGGGAAGGTGAGGGACAGAGAGAAAGAGAACAAAGTAAAAAAGCCTTTGTCTCTCAGGTTCATTAAATGTCCAGATGGAGTGGCTTAGGCGTGGGTGAGTGGTAGGTCTTGTTGGAAGGACCTGGGCCGTCAGAATGTGGCCGGGCATTGATGGCATCATTCGTCCCCTTGTTGAAGGAGAAGAAGGTGAATTTCTTGGAACGAGGGACGGTGCTTGGTGTCTCTTCTCCAGCAGCTGAGCATCAGCTTATACACAGAGTCAGGGCAAATGGCCGGTTGAGGGAGGTAAGTCTTCGGAAACAAAAATAAAATAAAAAAGAGAGAATATTAAGAAGAGAGGGAAAAGGGAAGCATTTTTGCATCGTGGTTTGAGTTGCTCACTTTCTTGAACTTGATAACTGAAATGGGTATGGTGTCTATTTTTCCTACTCACAAGAGTTCTAAATCCCATTAGCTAGCCCCTGTCCTGTTCCCTTTGTCCTCCTTAATTCTCTGGAGCAGGATTTCCTGATGGACCATTTTGTGGTCTCTTATCTTCATGCAACATAAAAAACTAAAGCAAAAAGAGATCAAACCTATCTGTGGCCTCCCCATGTTGAGGTTTATCTTGGATGAGTCAATCAGGACAGAGGCATAGTAGCATCAGTGCCTCAACTGGAATAAAATCCTAGCCAGATGCAGAAACTGGGTTGCAGGATGTATCCATGCAACTCTTCACAGTAATGTTCTCTGTGCTCTCCCTCCCCTGTATCGACCCCATTCTAGTGGAGATTGGATTTCTGCTTTACAGCATATACCAACCTCTACACATTTACCCTGCCTATAGCTCTATCCTGAATTCCAGCCTAGGGCTCTACAACATGTCCTCAAATAATGTTTTTTCATTGGTGAGAAGAAAAAAAAAAATGGATTCCTGGTCCAGGCCACTGTCTGTGTAGAATTTGCATGTTTTCTTCATGTTGGTGTGGTTCTTCCCTGTGAACACCAACTTCCTCTCCTATTCTAAAGATTCACATTAGGTGAATTGGCATGTCTACACTGTACCAGTCTGAGTGAGTGTGGGTTTGTGTGTAAGTGTCCCTGCAATGGGATGGCATCCTGGGCAGGGTTGGTTCCTGCTTGGTGCCCTCAGCTACCAAGATGAGGTCTGACCGCTTTCAACCCTGCACTACAATTAGGTAAATAATAATCTTGTTTTTATTCATCTTTCTTACATGTATATATGTATAGCTCACACTCATTTCAATGTTTAATATTGGAAGTGTTTGGGGGTCTTAATTTTATAAATTTAATGATGTTTTATCTTCACAAGTAAAAGGCAAAAGTGTGACTCCCATTGAAATTCTAATGAAGTCTAACAAGCCTTAACTCAGTATGTTACAAATGACTGTGATTATAAAATACTAAGCATTTAAAAAGAAATATTAAATAGTGACATAAGTAAGGGTATAGGAAAACAGACACTCTTACATATTAATGGTGAAACTTAAAACTGGTAAGCCCACATTAACTTTACAGAAATATTATATCTGTTTTGAGCTAACAGTTGTCAATACAATTAAAATAGTAAGTAATTAAAATGATTAAGGTTGCCTTTTTCAAAATCTTATAAACTTAGCAAATAATTGAAGTTACATTTCATAATAATTCATGTTATATTTGTAAAATTTTGTTACCACTTATAACATTAAACAAAATAGAATTTTAAAATATACTTAATTTTGGGTTATTTTATCTCATTTAGACCATGAGCTCTCAAGAAATGTGGTATCTGGGAATTCTTCACAGCTTGTATAAATTGAAAGCAAAAATATCAAATATGTCTTTCAGTTATTTAAATTATTGCTATAGACTCTCAAGCACTTTCAATTGAAGACAGAGGATTTGAGATTTGTCTAATCTATGAGTCCTATGTGTAAAATTTCTTCTAGAAATCATGTTCCTGAAATTTTTCTTCTGCATATCTGCTATGCTCAGAACTTAGCTGTGTAGCTTTGTGACTATAGACTACACCTAGCAGCTGATAATGTGAAGAAGATATTGTACCTATACTCTGTCAGACTTTAAAATTTTGAATACTAAAATATAAACAAAAATGTAATAGTAATTAAATTTAGTAAAGTGTAATAAAATATAAATTATGTTCCATAAGTTAATAAATTAAATTATTATCAACAATTTACACGTATGCTTATAGGTGTGAGAAGTTTGCTCACTATATAATGGAATTATTTGGATTTGTCCTTGGCTTCAGTCAAATATTTAACTTTACTACTTGACCATTTGGTAGTTGGTCAAAATATATATTTGGTGCATCACTAGTATCTAATACAGGTAAAAATGCTGGACCCTTTTAAACTGATTAAAAACAAATAGGAAAAATAAGATCCCAGAAATTATTATAAAGTATAACTTTCATCAAATGATAAAAAGGCATTTTCTTATGAAATGAATAACATAATATTGAACAAATCAATATGTAGGTTTTTAGTACTGAATTAAAATGCTATATAATATCAAGGATACTTTAGATGCAAAGTAGACAGTGTACATGAAGGGGAGTGGGAGAGTATGGCTTTCTGTTGTTGAATGTTTGGTGGTTCAGCTTTGCTACATGTAAGAAAAATAATTTTTCCCTGTGAAATTTTAGTCACTGAACAATAGGTTGGAGAACACTACAAGGCTAATAATATCCCTACCTTTTCCTATAATTTTAGGATACACAAAAATTAGGGCCGTTATGATTAATAAGATTACATTTTCTAACTGAACACACTACCTTTAACTGGTCATGTGTCTTCTAAAGTGTCACTGGGAGGACCAGTTAGAGGCTCAAACCTCATCTGCACATAGACTACTTATGTACCTAATCCTGACTTGTACCCCACATCTCTATAATAAAATAAAATTTTAAAAAAGGGAGGGTCACTGTGGTGGCCAGGAGATATTAGCCTAGGAGGAAAAAAATAAAATAAAATAAACATTTCTTTGGTCTACTCACTTATGTACACAGTAGTAAATTTGTCCTTTACCACAGTAAGAAGGCAATTGCCTCATAACTGAGATAGCTAATTTAGACCCTCTATTGCCAAAATATTTACAGAGTGTAAAGATAAAATTAAATTTCAGGATGCCTCTTATTTTTAATATGCATCACACATTCTCTCTTGTCATTCTCTTATCTTTTGCTTGCTTGGATCTATTTAGGACACAGGGGATCTACTTTTTATTTTTTGCAAGAGCCTCCATCAACTTTTATCATTTTCCAGCTGTAGATGCCATAGTTCACGGGTTTGCTCTCACCAGGTCACTTTGGGGAGGTGCAGTACTCTAGTTACTAGCAAGCTTTAAATTCCAGATCTCACAGGAACTTTAAAAAGTGAGCTACCCAAAGAAAGCTTGAAGTATCTTGGCTAGGCAGTGGGACTTCTTGCGAGTCCTGAGAGGTCACAACAACCGGGCCCAAAGGTGTCCTCCTAGTGGAAGGAGACACCAAGTATAGGATACACCTGCCCATTTCTGGACATACAAGTCTAGAAACATTGCTAGAAAGTCCAAACCAACATCATTTCTTATACTAAGGTATATATTTAATGTCTGCTAGTAGTCCCTTTTTCTTTTTTACACTTATATTTTTTAACCAAGAGGGCAAACCACATGGTCTAGTCAAGAAATAGATCAAACATGAGAGATAGGATTTTATTTATCCCTGCTTTCTGTGAGTTGGGAGAAATCTGACATGACACTTTATGCTCTCTAAGAGTCAATGGGTTGACATATAGATAAAGAAGAGTGTATGGATGCCTAGGGAGGATTTTGGACTTTCATACCATGTAGATAGATAGTGACGAAAGACTATCATCTAGATAGCCCCTCTTCTAGCTCAGGCCTCTTCTGCTAAGTCAGAACTTTCCTTCATTTCTACTTCAAGAGCACACAGGTCCACACCAATCCATCCCAACAGTTCTCACCTGCCTCCCTTGGTCTCGGAAGAACTCTCCAGTATTCTCGATAACCTGTTCATCTGACAGCTGGGAATAGGGCTGCTCCTGGCAAAAGGTGAATGTCTCCCACAGAGTAACCCCGAAGGCCCACACATCGCTTGCTGTAGTGAACTTGCCCTATTTAAGTAAGAAAAAGATGGGGAAATCAGAATAATCTGTGCACAATAAGAGCAGGTTAGATTCATAATCTGGAATTGCCCTCTTCCCCTATTAACAGACAAGGAATGCTGGAATTGCCAAGATATGTGTCAAAGATTGAGAAATGATGACCTGAAGGTGCCAAGAAACAGGCCATTCTCATGATCTCAACTTAGTTCTGCTTCTTGGAGATAAGACCCAAGAGCTGGAAGAAATGCAGCCATTTGCTACATGACTCTCCAGCATTAGAAGGTCACACTTTAGGTTCTGAGGTTGCCTTGGAAAAAAGTCCCTGAGAAAGGCAAAATTTGAATGGGAAGTCAATTGTTTTATATTAGAGATAGAGAAATCTGGCTGTGCCTGGAGAAAGTCTCTGTGTGAATCCAGGACTCTAACTTCTCAGTTTAGTGATCATCCCAGTCTTGAAAGATAAACAGGTGACAACAATGAGATTCAGGTGTAATTAACATGCATTGAATACTTACACATTTCTACTCAGTAAAGACAACAGTACTGTGAAGTAGGTGATATTATCCTTATTTTTTTAGATCAGAAATTGAGACGGGAGAGGTCTACTAAATTTTTCTAGTTAATAAGATCATTAGTAATGGAAAACCAGAATTTGAAACAAGATCCTCAAACTCTCAGTCTAATGTATTGTTTTCAACAACACACAATATCTTTAGAGAGAGCAATGCTTAGTTATCACATTATAAATGCATAGAATATAATGATTCATATATAGAGATGAAAAAGATCTTTATAAGAATTTATGTAAACTGGTATATATCACAGCATCATTCATAATAGCAGGAAATTGGCAAGTACTTAAATATCAAGGTATAGAGACATTAAATTATAGAATACATTCACAAATGGAATATCATGCAACCATTAAAATCATGTTTTTAAAAAATATTTATTAGCCGGGCTTGGTGGCTCAGCCTGTAATCCCATGCCTTTGGGAGGCTGAGGTGAGTGGATTGCCTGAGCCCACGGGTTCAAGACCCGCCTGGGAGCAAGACCTCATGTCTTTAATAAATCATAAAATCAGCCAGGCGTGGTAGCGCATGCCTGTAATTCCGGCTACTTGGAAGGCTGAGGCGGAAGGATCCCCAGAGCCCAACAGGTCGAGGCTGCGGTGGCCAGGAGCAGGCACTGCACTCCAGTTTGGGTGACAGAGTGAGACTCCAACTCAAAAAAAAATAAAAAATATTTATTAACCTTGGAAATTTAAATAATAAAATATTAAATAAAATGCAAAGATAGAGAATTATATGGCATAGACCATCCCAATTATGTTATAGAAATTATATACACAGAAATATATACAAAAATACACGCATAGAAAATAATTCTCAAACAAAATAGACCAAAACATCAATAGTGGTTATCTGGGTGAGTAAAAGAGAATAACTATACATTTTTTCATTTCAAAATTAATTCATCAATTCTCTAAGAAAATGAGCAAGACATAAACAGATCAGCTATAAATGAAGAAAACCAAATTGGTCTAAGGCCTTTCCCTGCGCTATTATAGAAGATAAAAGGCAAAATAACATGTACACACATAGTAGGAAGTAAAAGTTTATGGTCTGACAATTCTTTAAATTCATAATAAAAGGTCTTAGATATGCATGGTCAGAAAATATGCCTCTGAGACATGTATTTGAAATAAAGTATTCACTTGTACAGAATATCAAGAACTGAATAAAAATTATAAAGCAAAGAATGAGAAACTTAAAAAGTAAGTATTGAAGATTATTAAACTAAAACTATGGGTGTTATTCTAAATTATTAATGAGAAAATATTTATAAAATTAATGCAGAAGAAAAGTATTTTCTGTGGAAAACATGCCTTCAAGTGATAAGGTTTGTAATACCCTAAAGTGAGACCAATCAGTAGATAGAAAGGGTAGAGAGAAATAAGAATGATACTAAAGTCCTTATACTTTTCAACTTTTTCTTCTACATTTTCTGTAATTAGTGAGTTACTTTTTTCAGCAGAAATAGGCAAGCATTTAATAATAATAATAATAATTAGTACACAAAGAAAATAATCTCAAGCCAGAGAAACTATCACGGCCTACTGAGTTTGCCTCCTGTGGTCTCAGGTCTGTCCCCACATGCCATGTGTGTGCCTGCCTGCATGTCAGTTGTGAGGGTAGGTCTTAACAATGCTGGGAACTCACCAGCAAGATGCTCTCCCAAGACATCCAGCGGATAGGGAGCACTGCCCGGCCCTGGATCCGGTAATAGTCACCACTGTACAGGTTTCTGCTCATTCCAAAGTCAGCTATCTTGATGGTGTAGTTCTTACCCACTAAGCAGTTTCGTGTGGCCAGATCTCGGTGGACAAAATTAAGAGAAGAAAGATACTTCATGCCAGAGGCAATCTGGGTAGCCATAAACTTCAGGTTGGTATAACTGAGGAAATATACAAGAAGAGAAAGGGTAACCTATGGAAACAGGGAACCATGAAAGATACACATTCTAAAGGTGGCATCCTCACCTTTAGAGGACTTAGGTATCAACCACAACAACCCTTCTCAATTCTTAATGAATCCCTATGCATCCCCCCCAAAGGGCAGCTATTCCATTATTCCCTGTATACTAGCCTGCCCCGCCACCCCAGAACAATGATGAACTTTAAGGCTCACTGCTCTCCAGTTTCAGATCCCAGGTCAGGTACTTTCATGACCACGGGAAAGAGATAGAAGACCTGGCTTATTTACCTGACAGTGGGTACATTGCTAGAGGAAGAACTGGGGGGTTCATGGCGGGAAAGAAACTGATTGAGATCTCCATTCTCCATGTACTCAGTGATCATGCAGAGAGGGTCTTCAGTGATACACACAGCTAAGAGACGGATGATGTTTGGGTCCTTGAGCCGGGACATGATCTTTATCTCCTTAAGAAAATCATTCCTTTGGAGGACACAGACATAGGTAAACTCAGAGGTTGCCAGAGTCAGAATCAAGAGGAGGAAGAATGCACAGCAAGGTCTCTTCCTACCCATTACAACACATCTTGACCTTTTTTCATAACCTTTGAGAGGACAGAGAGATTGGCACATGGAACTGTCTCATTCTACTCCTGGATTATGATGGACCCTTATTCAACTGTTGTGTTTTTGAGAATGAGATTCGTGACTTATTTGCATTTGCATTCCTAGTATCCAGCAAAATTCCTGCCACACAGAAAGTGATTAATACTTGCCGAATCAAATATATGCTGCTAAAAACTACTCTGCGAAGTAAAACTTTTCACTGAATATCATATCTTACGTGCATGAGACTTTAAGTGCATTAAGTGCATGGTTTTTCAAAAAGTCACAAATCACTAGTAATAAATGAAATAATTTTTTATAAAATGAACAACCACCCTTTGATTTATCTGATAAATCTTTATTTTCTGGTACTGGCTTTTCTTCATATGATATGTACCAGCAGTCAGTCACAACATACATTTAGTAGCCTGTCCAAAACAGAGCTGTTTAAAGGTCATGGTGGTAAAGTGGGGTCATTTCAAAATGACTCACTTGGCTTAGACTAGTAGTCATTTGAGCACGTGGTGACAGCTATCCCTGAGCATGAAGCAACAATATTTGGGTTAGTGAGGTTGCTAACCCATATTCCCAAAACCCTTGGGTAGATCAATTATAAGTCTTCTGAGAGTTTCCCAGGAATCCTGGACTGGGAGTCATACAATGTCCATATAAACCCTTGGAATCAATGTAGTCCAATGTAGCAACAGCTCCCCTCTTTCATTCCCTTTTAACCCCCCCACCCACCCCAGTCAGGGGTTTCCTTGGCTTGGTTGGGTTCAGAGTCAAGGACACTCATCATTGCTAAACAAGAGTGGGCACAGGCAGAGGCATAGCAAACCTCACCAATCAGAACAATGAAGAACATTTTTGTCATATCCTGTGCTTTAAAAAACAATACTTGCCAGTTTCTAATTAATTATGTGCTAAGATTAACATAAGGAACACTCCGTCTCTCCATGGGACTCAGAGTATGTCACTTTTCACTCATACCAATATCATTAATATTGAAATTCTCAGCTAAAATTCTAAGCTACCACAGTTCCATTACCTTGCCCTTCTCTCTTCTTTATTCCACATCCTGTCAATTGCAAGACTTTTAATAAATCTGTTGCCATTCTTGGAATTTATAACAACTTGGGGAATAAGAATAATAAACTTTCTCTCATTATGAATATGAGTGAGGCAAACCAAAACAACACAAATGGGGAAATGCATATGTTATCCAGATGTGCAGATTTCTCTGGGACACATACAACCAGCTTTCAACCAGCATGCCTCTCTGGGTGAGGATTAACTCACCAGTACTGTAATGGAAAGGTTGTCAGACAACGGAGTATGGCTGGAAACTGCAATTTATGTAGTAAAGGATCCAAGAGATTATTAGCCAGTTTGAAAAACTGCTAAAGGACTGTGAATCCTTTTGCTTTGAGGTCCATGGGTACTTTTCCAAGTAGAGTAAGCTTCTCATTTTGGGGGTTGCTGGACATAAAAGAAAAGGAGCATAAAAGAGAAAAAAAGGGATGAGAAAGTAAGTAGAGATGTTAAAAAAAGAATGGAAGAGGCTTCGCAAGAAAGGTAAGGTGTGTGGTTGTGAAAAGCTCGTCATGAAGAAGTAATGACATTCAAGAGTACATCTGTGTCTGATGATGGAAGAAGTAGATGGTTGTGTATGTCAGGAAGCACAGTGCTATGCAAGGGAGGTTAGGGAGTAAATACACAGCAAATACTATGAAAAATGTACATTTGTGTTTGAGAGAGTTGAAGAAAAGGAGGAGGACCACAGCTCCTATCAGAAAAAAAGCATAACAGAGAAATGTGAAAGAGCTCATAGATCTTCCCATCTCAAAAGAAAAAATTGCTCACAAGTATCCAGGAGTATTTCTTGGTCTTAAAGATGAAATACATAAAGGAAAATTGAAAATGCAGACCACAGACCTGGCATTCTTGTTCGCATCTGCTCGGAGCATTTTCACAGCCACCAGGACAGGCTGGTTGGCACTGACATCTAGGGCAAAATCTTTGTCTTTGAATTTTTCCATTCCCTCCACTTCACAGAGATGAACCTAGACAAAAGTCATCTAGTCTCAGCATCATCATTTCTCCTGAAGATGTCTCAGTACTCTTGCTGGGCATTTCCTGGAGATAAACTAACTCTTACAACTCAGGCAAAATAATCAAAAGACCGATAAGAAGATATGTGCAACATATCTTTGATTCAAATAATGGATACAATTAAAAGCAGTGGTAAAGTACCCAGCTAATGTGATACATTGCTTTTATATTCCTTATAAAAGAAATATACATTGATTGGAACATTGCAGAAGTGAATGAATGAATCAATAGCATAGTATTTTGTTACATTATAGCTCACTATAAAATGTCATTCAGTATATGTGCTTGAACTCTGATTCATTAGTTACGAGATCATGCAAAACATAAAACACTTTGCTAAGGTAATATTTTAGTATGGGGTTCAGCATTGTAAGTAACTCCTGTCTATTAGTAACAATCTAACAGGTAACCCAGAGGACATATTGACTATATATAACTCTAAGAACAGATGCCACGGACCCCTCCACCTCTTCCAACAACAGACTTACCCAAGGAGAGACAATTAGACACACACTGAAAACCAATAGCACATTCTTATGAAACCAAGTATTCTACTTGGAGATTAGATGGCAGGGTTGAGGAGTTTCTGTTACAACTCAAAATATTGCTTTGAGTTCTCAGAAAGTTCATGAGACTGATGCAAGAGTAAAAAGTTTAATATTACATGCATCACTCTGAGGGCAATTGAGAAGAGTACTCCTCCTTATCTTAGTTGGTGATTCATTCCCTAGTGGGTGATTCTGGGACCAAATGCAGGGGCGAGGTTGTTTTTAACCATTTTACATGTAACTCCCATTAAAAGGAAAAAACAAAATAAAGTGTCTATCAGGCAGCAGGGTGTTTCTGGATAGTTCATAAAAGATGATCGCATCTTGTGGTCCCCACCCTCTATAACCTATTATAACAATTTTTTGGAAATACTAAATACTTTTGAGGATATCTGTCTTGCCTGCCTTAAAAATTCCTGTAGAAATCAGAAGCCCCAGGAACTCCACAGCTATTTGACAAAGAAGAGGTTGACCCCAAAACTAGTCTTCCAGAGAACAATGCAAGGAGAGATAAGTAAAAGATATTCAGTTGTGAATCCACTTCCAGAAGAGACACTTTGTTCCACTGACTACTTTTATTCAACTACTCCCTTTGAGCTACTGAGGACTAGAGATCCCACTCAAAGAGTTAACTCACCTCCCCAAACTGGCCTTCTCCCAGCTTCTCCTTGAAAGTTAAGAGTTTCCTGGGGAACTCTTCCACAGCCACGTCTTTCCCAGAGAGAAGGTCCATGGTGACAGCAGGCACTGAGTATGTGTTGCCTCCTGTCACTCCCTGGAGGTTCACGATGTCAGCCTCTGCATAGTGGGGCACTCCCTCAGGGCCACTGGGCTGGGCTGGCTTCACAATGCCACCGCAGCCTGGGAAGACAAGGACAGCAAGTCTCATTCCAAGGAGGCAACTTTGGGGCTCTCTTCAAGGAAGAAAATCTGAGAGGAGGGCTAGAACACGCCCCGATGACAGCCTGTCTTACTTGGTGACAGTCTAACTTGGAGAATGGTTTTACTTTCTCTAGAGACTTTGTGGCCTTCAGAATGTAGGCCACCATATTATCTCTCAGTCTTCTCCTTGTAATATATGGTCATTAACAACTGCCTTAGTTAACCTTGCGGCATTTTGTGGCAAAGCTATGAGAAAGCTCATGGTATATCAGGATGGGAATAT